GTCTGCAGATCAGAAGTAGGGAATGTTGTTGTGGAAGAGGCGGGAATGGCCTGAGTGGCAAAGTGCGCAGGACACTCTGTAAGAGGCTGGGAGGAGGCATCCAAGGTTGCAGCTGAGTCAACACTCAACAGAGTCAGGACTGGGCTAACTGCGGGGCCAGTCTGGACATGATTGTCTTATGGAAATGCTAAGGAAAACAACTAATAGATAGTGGTGTGTTCGCTGACGTACTTTGATGCAGAAATTTAAAAACAAAAAGATGGATTGCTTTTCAAGTGATTCATTGGTAAGATTATGAAATTGAGATTTTTCTCTCTCATAACTCTCTCTTTAGTGCTAGTGTTAAAAGGACTGAGTCTATGTATGTGAAAAATTTGCAACAAAGCCTGGCACAGGTTGAGAGCACTATGAGCATTAGCTATTAATACTCTTAGTGTAGGACAAAGGATGATGAATTCCAGAAGAAGAAAGTCCTCTGGTCCGTGGGCCCGAGACCGTTATTATGACCCCTCCAGATTGTTTCCTCAAGAATGGTCATTCACTGGCACCAGGCCACTTCTTCTGAAGCCCTGGATTCCACAAGCAGAGATGTGAATACGGATAAACAGAAGTTCATGCCAGGAGGCAGCGTAAGGTCATTGTCATTCAAATCTACGAAAGACATTTGGCCATACGCTCGCAAGACCTGATAGCTTAGGCCTCTTGGTCTTGAGCTCTGTGAGTGCCCTGCAGGTACAATGCATGGTGTCAAGTCTGAATTTCTAGAAGAAGCTACAGGGTAGACAGGTCGTGGGTACTGTTGGAAGAGTCAGCGCAGACACCAGAGGTCCAGCAGGAGGAGCAGTATCAGTCAGTGTCATCTCCCACCAGCCACTGCAGGCTCCCACCACAGGCCACATGGTGAGGGGCCTCCATCGAAGAAAACCTGGAGCAGAAACAAGGTGGCGGCCGACTCACCTAAGCCAAATCATACAGAGGGTGGAAGGACAGATAAAAGCAAAAACTGCAAGCCAAGCACAGGTGTTTGTTCTTCCTTCCAACAGAATGGCCAGGGCTGGACAAAAGAAAAGTAGTGCTGAGTGGGGTGTCAGGGACTGTGGTCTGCACAGAAGCCTTCGAGAAGGGTGGCATTTTCACAGGACAGAGTGACCATTGGCAATTTTGGGGGGAGTCCTTGGCAATGTATTTTCATATTATGGTGGTAGAAAAGAAATCTTGAAAAATATAATGTACATTATTGCACACTGAACAGGCAGTGTGATGCCTTAGGCTGTTAAGGAGAAGCCAGTAGATTTAGGGTCAGATTTAAGGGGTGATAACTCCCCACCTTCACCTCTTCAGTATCACCGCGGTGACAAGGGTGTTGGGAGCAAACAGTGGTGACCTTGCGGACATTGAAAAAAAAAACAGCAAAACTCTATGCTAAGCTGACTCAGATTTGATCCTGAGGTGAAAAAGAACTGGATCATCTAAACAAATTGTGCGTGGGGATGACTCCCAGGAAGTGCTAATTGGAAGTCTGTTCCATGTGGCCCAGAAATCCCTGGTTTCTTAGCATAAACTCTTTCTCATCAAAGGAGGACTCTTGGGGTGCAGTTGCCCTGAAGCCCATTTCAGTGAGGGAACAAAATATGCTGTTATTCCCAGGGGGACCCACTAAAGATACTTAGTAGAACTGTCTAGGAACACTATTCTCAGAGGTGACCACCAACGGAGCTTAGAAATTAGATAGATTTCCCAGGCATTATAATCAACAACCTCTTCGCTCCCATTTCTTGACGTTTGGGTAAGAGCTTCAGCTGTTTTTCTCTGTTTTGGTTACAGGGAGATAAAAAATGAACACCTCCCTTCATGAAAAACTCAGATGGGCTTTTCTTCTGGCTACTGTGCGCCTTTGGTACATGTGTACCTGTGACGTGAAATCAGTGGTGGACTCTGCACGTAGGATCAGGATTTGTAGCCCTCAGCTCTGGCTATAAAGTGTGGTCTCGGAGAAAGCCGTAAGAGAACTGTGATGAAGACCCGGTGTTTGGTAGTAGATTGTGGAAGATTTCAGCCAACTTCTAATGTGTGATGAAGTTAAGTGATTGTGTAAAGGCAGTGCACTTACCTACACAGGGATGCAGACACCAACATGCAGAGGCAAGAATAACAAAAAGCTCTTCAGGTTGGGCCCCAGTGAGTCCTGACCCACCCAGGCAGCAGCTGGAGATGGAACTCTAGGAATGCAGAAAATGGTTAAAAAAACCAATAGGAAGAGGCAGGGCAGGGTGAAGAAAGAGAAAGAAATTTAAGGGAGAATGTCCAGGAGAGATGGTCCCTGCTGACTGAAGGTGAAGGGCAGTCCCTGGGGGATGAGCCAAGAATGAACAGAATAGGCAAGTTGAATAGAATGAAGAAGCCAGTCCTAATTCTTCGCCATTGAGAGCACTCTGGATGAGTTTTATAGATCTCATGACCTGAAGGCACATACTAGGAGAACCTTCTCCAGGGTTTTATGTGTGTGTGTGACTTGCTAACTGGCAAGATTCTTTTGTTATCATGTTAGTGCAAAAGTGACACAGAACACAACTGCTTCTGTTCCTTTCTCTTTAGTCCATGACCATTAAGGTGTTGGACCAGATGGAGTGAACAAGCGATAAGGACTGCTCTTGGGAAGAGAGTTTGGAGTCCATGATACTTATACTGACATGCTCACCCTCACAAAATCCCAGATTCCAGCCTATAAACGTCTACCATTGCCAGATACAGGAGCAGAGGCAATAAAGAATATTTATGGTGATCATTCAAAGTCATCAGATATAAGACAGTAGACAAAATATGGTGCTCAACAAGCTCAAATATGTGCTCCCTGCTATCTCCAGCTTGGCACAATGACCCCGGTAGTTAATTAACCGTGTAGGTGAGGTCATGACAGAAGTGTGTGCACCCCACAGGGGAATCTGGCACAACTTGGGGAGCCTCTAACAGTGATGTAGTGATAAAGTAAACTCTCTGGTAAACCCCAGTCAGAAGGCCATTGCAACCTATTTCTCGACTTTTGGAAGGGGTTGGTGGATGTGCCAGGAGGTTGCAGAAGTGATTGCAACTCCAGCTTAGGAGAGGTTTCTAACAAAAAGCAGTAATAAGAACAGTTGAAACTTATGCAGTCCTTAGACTGTACTAAGCATTGTTCCAACACTTTACATTTGCAGTTTTGACACATTGAATCCTTACAACACCCTAATATAGGGAAGGAGAAGACAGTGTGCCAGCTAAAGAAAAAATGCACCAAGACCCAGGGAGTGTGTGTGTTATCATGAGTGAGTGAATGAATTAAAAATCCATACATGCATAATTAATTAAAGCATCAAGATGGCGTTAACAAAGTAGGACATAGCATAAAGAAGAGCATGGTCTTCAGGATTAGATACACTGAGGTTCAAATTCTAGCTTAAGCAGGTTATATAACCCTCTGAATCTCTCCATTTATGTGATTATACTAATGTTTATCTTACGAGAATTTTGCCACAATCAGATAACAAGTGGAGAGCACTTAATGGCCGGTATGTAGTAGGCATTTTTAAAAGGGTAGTCATTACTGAGGATCTGGCCTTCAAATTTCAGTTCCACTGCTTACTTGCTTTGCGTAGCCTTGGGCAAGAAACTGATCTAGGCTGCCTTGGTCTCCCCTAGAGCACTTCCTGACCAGCGAACAAATACATGTAAGACCCTTCTCCCTGGTGCCCAGCAAAGGAAGCACTGAATAAACGATTGTTATTCTAATTATTATTATCATTACTCTCCATTACGAATATATTTTTGTTTGCCATTTCTGCCACATAACAGGTTGTCTATGCTTAAAAGTTAGCTTTCTGAAAGAAATTAGATAATTTTTCAGCTGTAAAACATCTTTATTCTAGAACACAGTTAAACCTTTCTTTTAAAAACCACATCCAATTATAGGTGACTACCACAAGGTGGCACCAGACCATTTCTATTATTTACCAAGTATTAAATCACCTTTCAGAAAGAGTTGTTCATGAGAATAACTGTGTTTGCATTGTGAAGAAATACGGCATTATAAAACACACACTTGTTTTTCCTTTTTTCTCATGTTCTTGTTAAAAGTAGATACCATTTCCATTAAAGAATACATATTACATACCCAGACATAACCCAAAATATAATTTAAGCGTGGTTGATGTTCGTTCAATCATATTATTTTACTGTATTAATATTAGTGTCTGAAATGATATGTTTGGTCTCTGTTCATTTAAGTGTGTATACTATCTAGCATTTTTAACAAATAATACCAAAATCTAGTTTTAGTAAATATCAAAATGAAGAACTGATGTTTTAAAATGTTTTATTTAAAATATTGATTTCTGGGCACTGTAGTTTTTGAGCTCTACTTTTTAAAATAAATGAAGCCCATGGGGCCTTCCATAATGCTTTCTGTGGTCCTTGTTTTCATGGTTCAAGTCTCCAAGAGGCTTCAGATAAATTTATTTAAGGATGAATCTGGAAGGGTATAGGTTCAACAGAACCAGCCACATGAGAGTTCTTAGAGCTGCCTCTGTGCTGTTTTTGTTTACCCCATATTTTTTTCAATTTAAAATGTTACAGCCACTAATTGTGGGAGAAGGTGTGTTTTCATTGACCTCCCCAGCAAGCATGAGAAAGACTCAGATGCTGCTGTTAAAGCCTCCTCCCCGGCTTACTGCTGGGAGTGTGTTTGTAGCATTTTTCCCCTAGAAAATGGAGCTTCTCTCTCTATGAGAAAACTGCTGGCTTATCTGTAGCTTACCTCCAGCACAGACTTCTGGGTCTGTTGTGAAAATGTTTTTTGCTGGCTCCAAATTTTCAGTTTCAGTTGGCTCTATTACAAGTTGCTATCTATGTAAATTTCATAATATACACTGCTTTTACATAAGCAAAGCCCCTTCTGAGAAGGGTAGTCGGAACACAACACAGACACATGTGTAAGCACCATTTCTTTGGTGTTTTTTATTTTATATCTATGGATTACACTATCTTCTTTGCATCTGGATTTGAAGTTGGGGTTCTTGCAGAACTTCTAGAGAAGTTCCATAAAGAGCTTCCCGCAGTTTTTACTCTTTTCTCACTTAACGGCTTCAGTCCTTCCTACATTCTGACTGGACTTGGTGCATTTGAGGTCGTGACCCTGCCTCCGGGGCTCTGAAGAATTGTAGGGAGGAAAAGTGAATGGAGGGGAAATGGGGGTGAGAAAGAATTTACTCTATGAATGGATCATTAATTCATTTACGTTGGGGGTCAACTGGGCTTTAAGGACATTAGGGTTTAAGGATCTCGTGGTCAGAAGCATAAATGAGATAAAGGATTCTTCCACCTGAACTTCTGTGACTCCCGCGTATTTTTTACATTTAGAACAGAGAGAGGCGTGTGTCGTATGGAAAGCCTGCGTGATAATAAACACGAGATGATTACATATCGGAACCCAGCGGTGGGGTTGTCTGTAACACAACTCCGGAAGCCACAGGGGCTGCAACTGTGTCTACGCATTGGAAAAGTTGCTGAGGTTGGAGGAGTTGCCGAGGTTGGGACAAAGCCAGAAGTTCTGCCAAAATCCAGAACCAGATGAGCCATCCTCATGAGGGACCAATCAGAGACCTGGAATATGGCACAAATACAGAGACATCATTTCAGGAGAACAAATAGGTAGGCGACCACTTTGTTAGAAAATGTGGGAGCAGAAAGAACTTTTTCAAGCTTTGTGTGATTTGGAGCACAGGTAACCACAGCACAGACAGCTTAATCCTGAGTAATTGCAGATGGAGAGAGAAATCACTTCAGTGATTAAGTCAATGACACAGAGAAAAGAAAAAAAGCACCCTTGCTGGGATCAGTTAAGGATGTGATCCTCCAGGCTCACAAACTAACATGAGGGTAGGCTGCACAGTCTGATCAGGTTAGAGATTTCTCTCTTTGTTAATGGGGGTGAGTGTGTGTGTAAGTAAAATATAGTTTTAGAGCATGCTATAGTTAATTAACCCGGAAGAGCCCTGATTTCAGAACTCTCAACTTGGTCCTTATTCCAAGTCCATTATGAAATCTCTCTCAGATGTATCAATGGAAGAAAACTACACTTTCTACCTGGATGGGATTGTCTTATCACCTGATTTGTACCTAGTGATCATAGAGACCCTAAAAATTGCCAGAGTCAGCAGGGACCAGGGTGAAAGAAGCAAGGCACAACATTTAAGGTGACACTCAATCTCCAGGTTGTGCAAGGGCAGAAACAACACCCAATAGTGAGCACTACCTTAAAACTTGGATCCTAAATTCCTCCTTTGCTTCGCCTCAGTCCTAGTTCAGGCTTCCCGGGTTCTTTCCCCCAATTTGCCTTTTCCATCAAGTCCAAGTGGCACATAGTTGGTATTGTTGCCACTGTTTTCAGGAGCAATCTTGGCAGGAAACACTGGATTCTTCACCTAGATCGTTGCCAACATGTCTCCTTAGGCCACCGGCTGTTCTGGGAGACAGAGAGGCAGCTTCAGCTGTCCTACCCACCCAGCCCGGCAGCTGCCTGGGCCTGGTCCAGGCAGCACACAACAGGTGTGTGTTTGTGTATGCACACGCGTGCACGCACCAGGGGAATGAGAGACATACCTTCAAGAATGGTCAAGAACCTAAGCAGTTTTTTAAATATTTTTCCATAAAATCCCCTCATAATTTATCCTTATTAGTAATATAGTTCAATGATGAAGCACATACATTTTTCAAAAGTAGTTAAAAACACATAGCAATTGTTTGATACTTGCGCAGCTCATATCTCAGTCTTGAAAAAAATATTTTAAAGACTGAAAAGTTTATTTTCCTAAATTATGTACTTTTAAAACTGAAAGAAAACTTCATAAAGTTCTATTTCACCCTTTTATTTGTATATGCTTTTGAAAGGTGCATATGATTGCAAAATAAAATTTGACTGGAAGCATGGTGAGAAATGGTTAAATGCTCTTGACAATTCAATTAAATGTAAGTATGTGAAATTCTACTACGTACCACGATGAATGAAATGAGAGGTAAGGGACATAACACACATGAGTCTTTTTGGAGTCTTAGCATAGGGGAAAATGACAAATTTTAAACCTAATGTGATTTGATTGTGTGGGAGAAATTACAAAGCTAATGAATCGGTATTGTCGGAGAATTGCCCGAGGGGAAAGCACGCCGACCCCGTGAAGAATACAAGTTACTCCGAGCATCTCTGTTGTTGGAAACAAGATAGTGTGAGCACAAGAAGTGAAGCCAGGATTTTTACCTGGGATGGTTATGAATTTATTATCTAGTAGCATCTTCAATAGGATTCTTTCAGATATTCAAAGACAGTAAATTTAGAAAAAATATTTTCTACATTAAATGAGTTTTGGAACTGAGTGTCTCTTTCTAAGACCCAAGTATCATCTCATCACATTCGTAAATCAACATACTGAAATCAACTTCATAATATAAAATATACTATGAGATAGTAATCAGTGGTAAGTGGCTGAATTTTATTCGATTCACAGTAATGAAGCTTCTTGAAAACTTTTGCACATACGCAAACCATCTTTCTCTCAGAAGTCATTTAAAATCAATATTTTTAATTATACATAATGTGTTCTATTGTTACATATTAATTGAAATAAACAAAATTAGTAAAACAACATACCCATTAGAATATATTTATACAAAGTTTCAGATTTAAAGCTCAAAAATATCACTACAATCCCTTTAAATTAAAAAAAAAACATTTGAAATACTAAGTAGAAAACTAACGGTTCTGATTTAAAATAATATGAGTTTGCAAAGATCACATAATAAATGCATGCTTCTTTTAGAAAATACAGAAATGGAAGGAGGGGATAAGGAAGGGAGAGAAAGGAGGGAGGGAGGGTCAAGGAGGGAAAGAGGAAGAAGCCAGTGAGCGAGTCTGAAGTGGCCTAAGTGTTCTAAATGTGAGCAAGACAAGCCTGTATAGATAATTATGTGCTTCCATCTGTCATTAAATCAAAGAGTTTTTGCTCTACAATCACCTTCTTCCTACTTCTTCTAGATTAAAATCTCTTTCTGTATCATACATTTTTATGTAAGGTCAAAAAATTGTAATCAATGAGGTGAATAGTACAAAGTTAAATTATTGAATTTAGTTAGAGTCAGGATATATGAAATCTAAGCCTGGGCTGGTCTTTAAATGAGGTTTAAGTCCTGCCTGGTCTCACAGACCCTTCGATTGGCAGAAACTCACATTCTTTGGAAACTCTCTACATCCCTTATGAACTTCACCCACTTTTTAAAAATTATTTTTAATTTCCCATATAGTGGTCATCACTCCCTGATAGTTTCTGGCTTGTTTGCTTATTGTCTGCATCACCCAGCTACAGCGTGGCCTCCAGGGAGGCAGGACCATTCTCCACCACACCCACTGCTGCGTACCCAGCACTCACAGCTGCTGGGTAGCAAGAGGTCAATAAAAGCCCTGTATTACCCAAATCTAAGGTAATTTTTCCCCATCGTTTTTAGAAAAGACAATAACCACCTATATTTTAGTTCTTACAGTCTCTCATGTTAAGTATCACTTTCATAAGCCATTAAATTCTGGCGAGGAGAGCAACACTAGCCAGAAACTTCACTGTTATCACTACAATTAATGCTAATTTTGGTATTTACAAAGACTACCTGTAAAATTTAGTAAAAAGAAGGCAAAAAAAGGTTAACAATTTCAATAATTTTTCCTGGGTTTTGACAATACTTTTGCAAAACCTGGAGGCAGTTGTAAATAAGACTTTTAAAGATTACTTTAAGAAACAGTAATGGTTACTGAAATATAAACCCAGAAGACCTAAAGAAAGAGTAGGAATGAAAATAAGGCTGTACTAATGCACATGAACGGAAACATCACACATGCAATCACATGATGCCATACCTCCTCACAGCTGACGTATGAGTGAAGCTGCTATAATGACCAAAGATATTCCAGTGATGGCAAAGACCCTGACGTCAAAGATGCCTTTGAAGAGGCTTAGTAATTCTGTGTGTGACTGGAGAAAAAGTAATGTTTCTAAATTACTATGTTTAGATAATATATTGTAATTTAAATGTGACCGAAGTAGTAAATTATATTCTATAAGTAGAAAATTTGCTTTTTGTCAGCATCCTTTAAAGGTTATATTTTCACAATAGTAAAAACTTATTTGGAGAAATCTTCTCTCTGTGATAAAAATAAGTCTATTTTAAAATATATCCTCCTATGCATTGTGTGGCATTTCAATATGCAATTATATTCTTTTCAGTTCTATATAATACTGCGCTATCTTTAACCTTTGCTTTTAGCTATTTCTTCTATTCTCATTTCAAAAACTCTTAGTAAACAATTTTGGGATTCTTTCTATTGTATACCTCTTAACTGCTATTTTTATATAATATTTCAATGTTTTACTTCCTGGGGTTGGAATCTGTGTGTATTTTTCAGTATCTTTTTCCCAATTTTAAGTGTTTTTCTCTTCAACTGTGTTTAGTCTTGAATTAACACTCTTTATTTAATTTTCCTACAATAATGTTTTTCATTTTGAAGAAATTTACTTGAGTATATGTTTTTGTTTTTCATAATTATAATATTCTTAGAATTACTATTCTTTCTTTCTGTCTGCAGAATCTGATTAAAATCTTAAAAAGACATTTTAATTTTCCATATTGCTTTATTTTTTATTCCCTCCAGAGTGGACATACATACTAATCTTTAATAATCTTGTTTATTTTTTCAGTCACAATATTTCTGAGGGACTCCGGACTCTTTTCATTTTCGAACTCACTTTGATGGGAGCTGTTTCCTCCTGTGTTCTCTGCATTGGGTTTTCACGCTCTCCCTTCATGCTCACCTCGCCCAGCGATGCACCGCCTCGAACTCTGGGTGCCCCCGTCCAGAACACTGTTGGGCACAGGGGACACTGAGCTGACCAGGAATGACATGGGAGCAAATACATGTCCAGGCACTGTGTCAGCAGGCAGGCTGGCACGAGTCCTGGGCACAACGCACTTTGTTCTTTCTTCCTCATCCAAGTGAGGCAACTTAACATAAGTTATAACCTGGTGGTTATAACTGCTCCTGGTGGTTATAGCTGGGGAGCCCCTCACCTCAGGCCTTTACTTCAAGCATCGGGCTAGACTCTGGTCCCCCATGTTTCTTAGACTGCAGGAGCTAAAATTACAGCCTCTTCTCCAGCATCTGTTCAAAGAGCTCAGCAAGACCACCTCCAGCCAGTATTTTCCACCAAAGTCCCTGACGCTTTTTCTCTGCAATGCTTTATCTTTTTAACTTTTCTCTATGTTATAACTGTCACTGGTCTTTGGAGTGTAAGGGACAAGAAGGTCTCCGGGATGAACAGTGCCAACAAAAGAGTTTCGATCAAAAGGAGAAAAAGTAGAAGATTGTTTTTTCTTAAAGTAAATCAACTTGTCTGCAAATACAATGTAAATACAGGGACTTGTCTTATTCACCACTGTTATTAGATGTACTAGGTGCACAGTCGGAGCTTAGTTAACATGTGTCAACTGAGTGAATTGCTGTTCTTCCTGAGTTAGTGAGGTAAGAAAGAGGAAAGGCCACCAGGCATTTAAAATTAGCACAGGAC